AGTTTAAATCATACTATTACTATTATCATTATTATTTTCACTAATAATATTCTACTAGTAATGTTCCATTGATTTTACTATAAACATTACAGCAGTTCTATTTATGAATGACATAGATTCAAGGAAATGAATTTAATATATATGATCAATAGATAAAATAATTAAGAGAAATGAAAGGCATCAAACACAAATTAAACCATGAGCATTCCTACTACAACTACTTTGTGCAACTTCTGCCCTCATTCTGCAGTATATGGCTCTTAATTATTATTATTATTATTATTATTATTATTAATGGCTTTATTCTATATTATAATCTGGTACAATAAAGAATTCTCAGCACGAGTTATTTCAACAAGTTTTTTCCCAAAAAATAAAACCAAAAAAAAAACCAAAAAAAACACAAACAACAACAAAAAACAGAAATAAAATATAAAAAAGGTTTAAGAAAATCTGAGTTTATACAAATTATCGAATATGAGACATGCTTAAGAAGACAGGTTATTTACTAGGTCAACTCTAACAGCCTGTTCATCACAAAGTAAATTAGCTAAGTAAGGTATTACAGAACTTTTATAGATTTGCTTGCGTGCATGAATTTTAATGTATTTACGTCTCGTTCTACCAGAAGATATACAAGGAGAAAGATATGAATGAAGCGGATGGTTAGTATCTGATAAGATAACACCTGCAAAGAGTTTGCAAGACTTAAGATGTCTATCCACAAGCATATTAACAATGACTTCAAAAGATTCACCACATACCTTGCAAACTGCCTTCAGCACTCTACGCAAAATAGCAAAGTCTTTTCTCAAAAGCCCAGGAAAGAATAATGGAGAACAATATAAAATAATAGGTAATATGCAGGAATTTACAAATTGTAAGAGTAAATGGCGAATAATCCCAAAAGCATGCAGCCTCTTTATGTAGTATGTCAAACGGTAAACTTTTTTCGATAACAGCAAAACATGAGAAGACCAAGAAAGATCAGAGGAAAAAATAACACCAAGACATTTGACCTTCGACACTGTGTTTATTAAGGAGTTTCCAATGACACAAGCATTATGGGATCCCAAAATAGAGCGTAGGTTCTGTCCATGTCTCAAGCTAAAATTAACAGCTTGACATTTAGATGGATGTAACAGTAGTTGTCAGCTTTTAAAAGTCTGACTACAAAGTGATCAGTAACTTCATGCGACGAAATCACGACTTCTATTCACGGTTATGCTTCTGTACTTACAGTTAGTCTGATAAATGTACATATGGCTAGAATTCGACACTTACTGACAGAAAACTGTCAACGGCACTCAAAAACATTCTACGTTAAACCAACGATGGTACCAATAACGACATCGATTGATAGCACACTCGTCGTACTATAAAAGTGGTATCATGACACTTCCTGCAAACTACTTTGACAAACCATCCCAGTACATGTTCACAAGCACACAAGGATAGAGCCCTGTGAGTAAGATCTATACTAGTAGTTCCATTGGAACAGTGGAATTGATATACACCCATGGAGGAGCTCATCGTTGGAAAAGATTACATGTAATTTAGCGTCACAGTAAAGCAATGCTTAATTTTGCCGCATATATAGCTACACATCCAGTAAATCTGACATTCCATTATTCCTCACTGTCAGTGGCACGAGAACAAATGTTTGAATCGGATTTTCCGGTATCTTTGGAAATTAACTTCACGGTTTATTCAATAGGTCTGTCTCCTCAGCATCATTTATTTTTATTATTGGGGTAAGCTATTTGCCCTAAACGTATTTACCACTAGTTTTAATCGTTTAGCTCCATAAACTAATGACCAATCGGGTTGAATCAAGTACTAGCAATTACCATTATTTTAGTTGAAACGAGAATTGCGACTTGTAATCCAGAGCATTGGTGCACATGTGTTTTATTTAAAATTCATCTTCCTACTATCTATCGGTTATTGGATGACGACATATTTTAATTTCGATCGTTTAATAGGTGTAACATTACTTGACTTACCACCTAGATATACAATATATTTCGCGCTTAATGTCTCTTATTTATTTGTCACACAATACTCGTGGACTGTTCATTCGCATCTGTTGGTGTCAGGCATTCGAATCATCTTACCATTCAAACTAGACTATTCGCCTCGAATGTGTAACTATAAATCCCAATTATCGCTGCTCTTTTCTTCTATTGGTTCCTGTAGCTCACTTGTTCTTTTTAGGAACTTTTGATTATGCATACCAAATTGATTTAAACCGTACTTAATCATTAATCTATTGTAAATGATTTCATTTCGTCAAATTGATTGTTTCTGACTTTCATAAATAAGATACTTACCTTTGCATGCGATTTTCGTTTTGGTATTGTTCACTCTGCTTTCAATATTTCTAGTACACGTACATGGGCATTCGTATTCGATCACAATCATTCACAATATTCTGCTTGATGTTTCTGTTTATAAAATTAGCTTATTGAGAATTTTCTTGAAAGGAAAGAACTTTCAATGGCATCTGTGAGTATGGATAGGAGAAACCAAGAGGAAGTGTTGAAAAGTTAGGTAAATTGCAGTTACAGTACTACATCAGTTGGGTGAATGAACAATTTCTACCATTTTTGAGTTTTCGCATCCAATATATATAAGTAAACACTTTAACTAATTGTGACTTACCATTCGCTCTGAGTGATTGCGTGTAAGTTTAAGTCAGCTGAAAAAGTCTTTGCCTGTTATATACCTTAGATTTAATTTTCTGAACAAGAGTGCACATGGAACCAGTTACTTGACAATGTTCATAATCCTTATTTCCACTTTATTTGTCGTTTTAGCATGTTGTTTTCTAATTTTCAGTCAAAACGTTTCTGCATATTTCACCTCCCTTTCTAATCTATTCAATATTATAAACTTGAGAAGTATCCTGCTCCCTCAATTTTTCTGTAATAGCTTTCGAAATAATGATCACAGAATCCGACTTTTCTGTTCTGTCTATTCATTTAAAACGTAATTACTGACGTCTTTCTATCTAAAAAAAACAGTGGTTTATTATCTCTATACATATTTTTGAACTCATCTGATTGACACCATTGTGCAATGAACAAGAAATGACAAACTGTATTTTAAGTTTCACCAGAGGTGCCAAAAGTAATGTAACCTTCTAACGTGGTTTACTCATATCACATATATTAACAAGATATATACTGATCTCTAAGTAATCATGGCAAAATGGTAACCAATAGTACACATAGAAATCGATTTATGATTGATTTATCTAGATTTAACTACTCAGATGAAGAGAATGTTAGACTTTCACATTGTTATTACGGGGAATATCAGTCATCAGGAGCTACTACATAGAAAAAATATAATCCAACATATCTGTACATCATTGGGTGTCACTAATTAACAGCTTCTCCACGCTAGTAAGTAAATGTAAAGACTAAATTAACTTCACGAGACCTTAAATTGTAAGAACAAGAATATGAAAAGTAACTAAGTGGTTGATTGACATACATTTCAGATTTGTTATAATCGATAAGTGGACATTTCGGAAACATGACTACTGAGGCAATTCGAAAAATAGAGGACATATGTCACAGGGAGAGTTCTATTTATTCATCAAATTAAATACTGATGAAGCTTAAAGCACACGTTTTTAGATTTTTATTAACTTTAATGACACCGTAAATATTAGTGGTACAGATTTGAATGCGATCAAATGTTTGTACTAAACGTAATTCATTTCGAGTAGAGATTAAGTTTGGATGCTGTGTTCACAAGACAATAAGCAACCTGTGAAGCTATGCACACTTGAAATAAACATGGCCATAAATAAATAGAGAAGCTAAATTCTCAATTTGGTGAGAGACAATTCTGCTAGTTTTTTTACAATCCTGGTCGATTAACACTTGGAAACGATATTCTTTATTGATGGAAGGACTATTCGTTGAAAATATTGTACTTTAAGAGCTGTACATAATTGAAGTGAGAGACGCCACTTAGATTATGCACAATAATTAAGCTTAAAATAATACGGTGTTCATTTAAATTAACCCATCAATTTATAAATGAAGGACTGACACGACGATTATGGGGTTGGTTAACTCGTCAAAAAATAGTATTATTTCGGTTGGATTCTTTGCATACAAATAAGTTTTATTCCTCCTTGTGTTTAATGGTATTTGTTTGCTTCAAATTCTGAGTTCGACTCCGTAGGTATGGTATGTGCTTTCCACCTTCTAAGTGCAAATTTCTTTTACAAGACTGGCAGGACCCTTATGCTGGACATGTTCTACGAGTGTCGTCCCAGAGAATTCAACGTCGTGCATTATTTGCCGACGCTGGGACTGGTTGGAAAAGGCAGAGAAGTGGTCAGTGTATGACATGGTGTCGTGGTATGAAAGAAAGCTGTACAGAACTGGCCTCTCTTGTTCCTTCACGAATCCCTGGTTGTGGTCCTAGAGATGGTACCACACAGTGGCTTGAGACGTTATCACATATGGCTCAGAATAGAAGCCAATGGCGACCCTGCTGTAACTTTATTCATAAAAGTGAACGTAACTTCTTTAACTGGAAGAATTCTTTATGGCTGTACCTTTGCTAAGTGAACTGCCTCTCCCATTATTATTTTTCATTGTAATACACTAATTTCTGTTCGTTATTGTTCTCCTTTTTATTATACGCGTTTTACATCTCTTCACATTCTCGTTGCTATTGTATGGCGCATGTGTATTCGGTGCCCCTTTGTACCAATATTTATGTGTTCAAATAAATAAATAAATCGACTCCAAAAAGGAGTAAGCTGTCTGATCTCCGTAATTAAATGTATGTCAATCACCAGTCGTCCAAGTATTTTTTTATTATTGGTTTCGTCATAGCAAAGGACCGTAAGCAGAAATGGATTAACAGAAATACATGATGCATAAGACCATTTTATATTATAACACAACTATAGAGAAACAAAGCAAAAACATCATGAAGTCGAAGAAAGAAATATTGGAAATTAGTAGAGATCAGGCAGGTAATCGTAAGTCTCGTCCTTTCATAACTGTAAACAAAAGAAAGAGATACGTTAGTTAGTTAGTTAGGTGAAGTTGATTATGAGTAGAATTGGTCATTAGTTCTGTGCAACTAGGTCGTAATTAATGTCGAATCCTACAAAACGGAGCGCAAACGGATAATACTAATGAGCAGTCTCTAGTAATGCATTTTTGATTAATATGAAATAACACAAGCTAAATGTATCCATTTAAGTTGTGAATAATAAGGCCCTTATCCGTAGTTTAAACAGAAAAGCTAGTTTTATCGTCAAATTGGCTATTATCAAGAACAAGTTATACCTAATATAAAAGTCTGGACCTTAATTAACGAGTGTTTTATCAAATCTCTGGAAGATGTACAACGTATTTTTGTGAAGCAAACACAGTACAAAAAGTTAAACCAACAAGTTTCAGCCAAGAATTTGAGTATTACTGTGTCCAAAGACTTATAACGACAGCAATTTTATGTACTATACTGGCTTTTCTCGAACCCTGAAACAGAATATATTGGGTTAAGGATATAAGTGACCTTTCATCATCGTATCGTCGAGTGACTGAGTATCCAGCTCTATTTTAATTAAACATATGAAAATTACAACCAAACAGACTGCAGCTGCAATAAAAAAGACCTTCAATGCAGCTAATCTGAGGCTTATCACAACAACTCAGTCGATCTCACTTAACCCTATCAAGTCTCCAAGACCGATTCAGTCCAAATCCCACTGTATTTACCAATTCACATGTAACTGCGGAGAAAGTTACTTAGGTAGGACAGATCGCCGATTGGAGGACAGGATAGGGGAACATATTCCAAGATGGTTAATCAAATCCATGATTCATCCACCTAGCCCGTCATCTCAAGATCGATCAAGAAACCCAGCCTCGTCCATTGCAAAACATCTAATGATGAGTGGTCATCAAATTGACCCAAAATCAGCCTTTAGAGTTGTGACATGTCATCAAAACCCACACACACTCAAACTACTCGAAGCTATCTTGATTGGTCGGAAAAGTCCAACTTTATGTGTTCAAAAACAACTGTACGTTGACCTTTGTTTACCATGGTTCTAGTAAGTGAATGTCATGCTAAATAAGAAATTTTGACCTTATCTTCAAAACTGTATTTACACGAATAACATGTTGCTTGTATGTGACTGACGAGAAAGCACGAAATGGTACTATCTCACAAAATTTTTCTTCTCATTTCTCTGCTTAAACATATGAGATTAAACATAACTTTAAAACGTATTCAGGAAACAAACTATTAGTCAATAAAATGTCGGGCGTCAGTTTTACAGACAAACCATGTATATGAGATTTTTACTATGAAAATTAAAATGAATTATAAGACGTAACTAATGCACCTCAAAAGTGAAGGAGACTGATTAAAATAGTCATGGTAGTTAGGAGGTGGGTAGTGGCTAACTACTTACTTATATCTTAATTGTTGGTTGAAACATTGTTTCCAAAATAGATTTTTTACTGAAACACTAGAAGTTACTAGAAACAGTAAATAAACGAGTCGAATAACAACATGAATGTAGACATGTTGCATAGGAGCAGCTATGTTAACTAGTGGATAACATATACTAACAGTTGCCTTCAGTCACTTAAAAACATACACGAAATCAAATATTTAATTTACCTTTAGCTATATACAAATAGAAGAAGTCACAGTACAATAATGTTTGTACAATACCCGCAACAACAGCAATGTAGTCGAGATAATCATCGAAAACATAACGGTATATCCAGTTGAACAAATATAACGCACGGTATGATCCTAACGCAAATAAGTAGTGAGAAGTGATTGTTTCAGCTTCGCCAGTTTTGCTAATCATAAACAACTGAGGCATGATAGCAACCGATTCCAAGTAAATTGAGAAAGCCCATAGTACCTTTGAGTAGTTAAGGAAAATACAAAAAATGACATATTATAGAAAGAACGTGTAAAGATAACTCGAAATAACATCCGGTAGGTACAATATGAGACATATAACTAAAGAAATCATGATGATAACCAACTTACCACTCAAACCAACAAAAGTTAATGCTTTTAGTGATAAGTAAGTAAAAATAAATCGAAAGCTGGGTCTTGAGAGAAACTTAGATAATTTAAATATATATTTCATGTTAGTGGTATTCGAATTAAGAAAGGAGCACAAAACAGTGGGTTCGAATCTTCGAACACTGAATATTGAGTTGCCTGTCTACTTCAACCAACACTTCCTATTGTTTATGGTAACGAAATGAAATATCTGGCGAAGAAAACGCTTGAACTGTGCTTAACTGTCTGTGACTCCACGTTTTAACGGAAAAATTAAATTTAGGAGTTGAAGCTAAATCTCGCGATTCGTTGATATCTATTTGTATGTGACTTGTTTTGTGTGAATTTTCGTAAGGAAATCACTCGGTTTTTTGTAAAAGATCTCTGGAAATGTTCGTCGACCTTTTCTGATGAATAAGACGAAGCTATTATATCTTACTTTTCAAACCATCCACAACTTATAGACCTAGGGTTTAGGTTGATCTATATTTGACTCTAAATGTTTGAAACTTGTTGATCAGTTGATCATAAAGCTTCACTTTGCTTGGCTCAGTGGGTAATATATAACAAGTTGTTACGAATTGGTTTGGCGACCTTATGGATTGTGCACAGAGATGTTTTCTTATGCTACTAAAATTTGGTTTAGTGGACAACCTTTTTTATATATTACCACCACTAAATTAACTACTTCTATTAATCCGGTGTTCATCTTGTTGTGCTAACGAGGTATGGCGACTTGTACCGATGCATAAATGTGCCTGGTCCTACGTTGTAGCTGACTGACTGACTGGACAATGTGTTCGACTTTCAGACACCAAGTCTCATACTCGAATTCCACTATATATACCTCAGTTTGGTTAACCAGGTAGTATCATTAGCCCTGACACTCATATCCAAGTACCTAGTGAATGAGTTAATTACTTACTGATTTACAGAGTGTCACTATAAACTCCTCACTCATGTTTACTTAGAATAATCCTCGAGTTAGTTTCTAGGACAGCACACATAAAACCTATCCAAACCATGTATTAAAAACGTTTACATAATCCCGAAAAAGCCACAGAGACTGAGCAGTTACGAACAGGAAAACAAATGAAAATTGGGAGCTATTTTCCAGTGAATCAGCATACACACTTTTGATGAGTATTTATCAAGTAATTGATCTACAGTATTTTGATAGTGTTTGATATAGGTTCCATTTAACCCCCTAACTGTTCTCATATGCTTTCTCCATTCTTTGTACTGTTAATTAGATAGAAACCTATTCCTCAAACTTCGTATTAGAAAGATCCTAATTATTAAGAAATCGCATATTAATTATGATGTATTGTAGACTTCTTTATATATGAATATATAAGCTAAGGTACTTGCTTAAAAACATTCATATGACCACAACTGAAAATGAGAACAATAATAACTGACCGAGTACTTCCCGTTATTATTATTATTATTATTATTATTATTAAAATTCAGAGCGTTATTGGAATAAGCGGAAAATAAAACAAGTATTACATAGATGTTGCCATTGTATGCAATATCCCATACAAATGATTGATTAATACTTCATGGTCTAGTAATCGGACTTAACAAGGATGGTGTAAAACAGTTCACATTAAGAGTTAGTAATGAAACACACTAAACAGAAAACAAAGCAACAGAAATTGCATTTTGTTATTCTAAATTTTAATCAATTTTGATAGACCTACAAATTGACTGGTGTACATTGCATCCTGGTCGTTCCAACGTTTACAAATGATAACCATTTCATTTTACCGAAAATCCTCAATTTCTATCACACTTCGAAAGGTGTATTTACCTTAAATCAGGCTAATGCTTTTTATGAACGATTTTGGCTTATGGAAAATAAAATCTCATTTATTAGGTATGTGAATATGAGCAACAAACTGCGGAGGCTAATGATACTACCTGGTTGACAAAACCGAAGCAGATGGGGTAGGGTTCGATCATGAGACTTAGTTTCTAGAAGTCGGACGCCTTAATCCTTGAGCCACTGCTACATTTGCATTTATAACTGTGGAACCTTGTGAGGCTTTATGGAAGGAAATATTCTCCATTCATATATGCTTCAGTATTCGAAACATTATGAAGTTTGCTTTTTTATGGAAGCCAAACACACTCATTTTAAGTTCCCTATTAATGATGGCTCGATTAAAAAACAGAAGGATGTACTGTATGTTTATCCACTTCCTACCTAAACATGAAAAGTTGGCTTTGCTATGAAAATACAAGTAATTTATCGAGAGTACGAGAATAATCCTACAGGTACCTTAAAATTTATCTCGAACGTGTAATAAACATCAAGCTTTATGTTCATATATAGCATAATTAACCAGCTGGAGATATCAAGTGATATGGACTTTAATCAGTTATAGCGATGAGGATGGATAACTTCTAAAATTAATTTGGACAATGGAATTACAATTTCAGAGTTACTTACTTAGTCTTGTTTCGGTTTTGTTTCTTGTTTTATGTAATCAGTGTCGTTATGAGAGCTGAGTTTTTTGGATCGTTCGGTGTGAGTCAGTCTAAACTGATTCACCAATGTGCTACATAACAGTAAATTGTATCAGTTTCAGCCAAATTATCAAAATGATAATCGAAAAGTCTGTATTGAAGGCCTTACCTCATATAAAGAAAATTCGTAATTGGCCACTAATCCTAGTAGCAGACTGGGGATCAGTAACAAATACATATTAAATGTATCATGATTAGAATCGTAGGTAGCCTTGAATTTGAAATACATGAGGTAGACGGTCGCACAAGAGCAAATGATAAAGAAAAGCTTCATGATGGTGTTATACAGTGAAATGAAATTGAAGAACAAATCCATGTAACGTGATGTAAACACAACCGCAAAAAGAAGTTGAGATTTTCCTGAAAGTCCTACAAAGTGGATACAAGCAATTCAAGTGAAGTATATTGAAAATGTTACATAAATCAACAAAATAGCTCACAACTACAACTATTTGCGGACCAAATTTCACTCACAAAGACAGGGAAATACTCAATCCTTCCAAAATGGTTTTTAGATAAGTTCAGATATCGCAGGAACAGTTTATCACAGACTCGGTAGGTTACTGTAAGGAGGTATAATAAAAAGCATTTGAGAAATCGTTTCTGAAGTAAGACAATTTTGATTGGAGTTCGAAAACAGAAATACCTTTTATCTGTACTTGAAGATACGCATTTCTGAGAAAATTACCGTGAGGTGAAATCAACCCTGCCTGAAGCCCTTCTAGGGTTACTGCTAGTCCCGAACCCGGATAAAGGTAGTCAGGTATGGGGTTAGCAACCCCTTCCAGAAAAATAGAACCTCGATAAAAAAAACGATGACCAGAAAGTCACTTCAAAAATTGAAGCTCTGTCTTAAAGGTTGAGGGGTCTCCATAAAGGAGAGTAGTGAAGCCTCGTGGTGGAGGCCGAGATCCCTCAAGAGTCACGAGGCCAATATCCCTTCTGACAACCAGAGTAATAATTAATGTGGGTACAAAAAATGTTTGCGCTATGTAGAAGACTGGTAGGGTCATTCAAATAGTTGCAGAAATGAATAACGCAATCTTTTTTCCTTTAAATGAGTGAAACCCATTAGGCACAAGCTGGGAAGAAAAAATAGCTTTGGAAGAGGTTTCGTTATATTTTCGTCACGAAGAAGAAAATGCCTCGCGCACATATAGAGTTCCACTAACTCTCTCCAAAGGAGCACAGGAAGCGCTTATATGACGGAAATTTCATGGACCCAGGATCATAGAAGTATCCTTCAGAACAAAGAATAGATTATAATGGATTTCATTCAGCGCCGCGCGCCCATCAATGATGGCAGCGAAGATTATAAAGACCAGTTCTATGAGGGTCCATAGTCCATCGTGAGAAACGCCCAGGAAAATACTTGACAATCCCAATGAGGAACCACAACGCCGAGACCGGTATGGACAACACTGGGTGTGCATACAATATGGCGATATGGACCGGGAGAAAGGAATGAGAGTGGCGAGACTGACAAATCTGCATGCTTCCATCAACATAGTTATAAGTGGGAGCATTTTTCTCACAAACATGAACACAAAGCTACATGGGTCTCACCGGACCGCACTATACAGAACCAGAATGATCATACTTCCATCAATTGAAGGTTCAAAAGGTCCAAAGAAGACGTAAAATTACAGAGAGGAGCAGATAAAGTCTCAGTTAACTACCTGGTGGTGGTCAAGATGGAACTGATACTGAGCGAGCATTACACAAATATCATTACAAAAGTTTAATACAGCGTTTTTTCGATATGCTAACAAACTCAGATAATTCAAGATAATTCTCAGCAATAAGTTCAAAACTATGCAAGAACTACTAGAAGAAAAACCCTCTACAAGGAATAATTGAAGAGGAATTAAAGAAGCCGTAACTTTAACATGGTGGGAGGTTCTGGGCCTCAAGAAGCTCTAGAGTTAGGCATATATATCTGTAAACAACCCCAGCAAAATCCAGGAGACGAAAAACAAGACAGCAATCAGTAAGAGCCGAACAAAAGCAGAGGTCACGGTACAGGTGGAATATACAGAAAAACACGAACGAGTGAAGAGTACTAGAACCAACCAGCAAGAGTATGTAAAAGACCTAGCAATAACAGCTGTACGAGAAGGAAAAATGAGAATATGGTATGACCAAGAGAGTAACAGGGAAATATGGTAAACCAGAGCGATGGATCGATAAAAAAGAAGGCACACCAATCACCTAGGTTCGAGAGCAGAGGAACAGATAGGTAAAACATTTTGGAGAGCTTTTGAACAGACCAGCCCCATCAGACACCGAATCAAAACACTCTGACCTCCCCGCGGATGTCACTGTGCCAATAATAATGGGAATAGGAAAAAGCAGCACCAGAGTGCATGTCAGCTGAGATACTGAAGTCACATATAAAGTTAGCCGTAATTATGTCCTATGTTCTCTTCAGAAAGATTTGGGAGGAAGAACAGGTACCAGTAGATAGGACCCAAGAAGTGACATCTTAAGTGTGAGAATTACAGGAGCGTCATATAACTGCCAGCACCAGGCAAAGGATTCAATAGTGTTCAATAGTGAACCAAATGGAGTATTCAGTAAACACCCAATTTCAATGTTCCATTCAGACTGTCTGGGTATAGTAGATAGTTGTGCAGTAGCTGAAGGCCAGCTAAACTGCTCCGCCCATCGTTCTAAACGTTTGGGTTGAGAGCAGATAAGAGTTCCGTCTATTTCCGAGATCGTTTCACTTACATTTAACTTATTAATTCCGGTTTCTTTTATTAGTCTGAATAGTTGCCTGGTGTTGCCTACAGCCGCTGCCTTTTCCATCTCTTTTGCTTTCGTTGCCCATCACTGCTCACGATCGTTCCTTAGACTTTTAGTTAACCTAGATTTGATTTGTTTACGCTCTTCGTCGTGTTCAGAACCTGATGGGATGAGTTTACGCGAATCCATCAGTGAAATAGACTTGGAGGAAATCCACTGGTTTTTTGGAGCCCTATGGTTTAAATTACTAATAGATGTGACGGCTGTTTCCACAGCTGTTCGTATGTCTTTCCAAACAGCATCTGTGTCAGTCTTGTTTACAGAACTGCCTAGATGTGAACTCAGTTGTTTCTGGAATTCGCATTTGGCTTTTTCGTCCTCCAGTTCAATCCTAATGGGTCTTCTTAGTGTACTTTTCCTGCGTCCATTGAGGCGCAGACAAATGCGCGCTCGTATTAAAGCGTGATCAGAGTCTAAACAAGTATTCCAATACGAGCGACAATCTTCTATTGAGCCTCTCCAACGATGACTGATGGCAATATGGTCTATTTGAGTCCATCGTTGGTTTGGTGCAGGTGGTCGCCATGTTAGACGATGTCTCTCCTTATGTTTAAAGTTAGTGTTTGCTAAGAATAAACGATTGGTTGAGCATAGCTGCAACAGACGGTCACCATTATCGGTTCGTTGAGCCGGAATACTAAAATACATACCTAAATGTTTATCTGTTTGATTTAAGCTGCCTACCTGGGCATTAAAGTCACCCTCTACGACTACTATGTCTGAGCGCTCAGCTTTCTGAAGAAGCTCAGAGAGCTTTCTGTAAAAGTCATCTTTCACTTCATCATGGCTGCAGTCAGTGGGAGCGTAGGCAGTAACGACGAAAAGGCAACGACGTGTGTCCTTGTCCTTCCGAGTTCTTACGGAGCCAATCAGCCGGACAGCACACAGGCGACTGTTAACGGGGATCCATTCTAATAGTACTTGTTCTGCTCTCGTACTATGTGCTATGCCTTCACCTACAGGGCACAAATAACACTTGATAAAAACGGGAAAATACAGCCCAGGACAATGTTCATTGATTCCAGGTCGGCAGCTTATTTCCCAAGAAAAATAACAGGTTTAACAAAGTACGTGAGGTGATGTCACTAAAGTTAAATCGCCGGTGATTTTCCACAACTCGTGCTACATGAAAATCCTCAGTCTCTCTGAATAACGAAAATCTTAATTTTTTCACAGTATGTGGCAGCTGAATCCCACCCAATAAGTTCAATCATTTTATTTTGTATGATGACGTTCGAATCAGTCTTAAGCAACATGGAACCTGGCATATATGTACATAGACTCCAGTTGCCAAACCATATCAGCACCGCTGTCAAAACCATTGTAAATACGTTTACTTAACTGGAATTCGGAAACTGATAAGGTTAGAACGAAAGTACTTTATGTACGTGGTTACAAACTTTCCTATTTACTAATACATACTATTACGACCAATGAGTTGTTGGGACAAAACAGCGGGCAGATACAAATACCAAGATCGTGAACTGGCTACTCATGTAATATTCCTAGACTTCAGAAAAGGATTTGATAAGATAGCCGTTTCAATTATGAATTATACAGGGACATTCTAAATTCGGAATAGACAACATAACTGAACCAGAAGCTACCCAGCAATTGAAAGCGAAGAGTGAAAGTATGTGGGATGCAATACAAAATGGTAGTTTCTGTGTCACGCCGCAATATATCATCTTATACTCTCCAATACTTGTACACTATGATGTGGAAATATTGGCAACTATTTGACTATTATGTCAACTAACTGCCAAGAACGTTTACATCATCAGTGCACTTATTTGTAAATAACATGAAAATACGGAGAATAAGTAGCGAAGCTGACAAGCTTGAGTTGATTAAATGTCCTCACATTTGCGTCAGGCCTAACCCACAGAATAATACCGGCCAACCTTGAGGAATTTCCTAGCTTTTTTAGTCATTAAAAAACCAGTGACATTTCGAAGAATATGGAAAAAAACCTTAATCAATGGGGATCTTGATGATTTCCCCTAAGTCAGTGGCATTATCCAGGGAGCGAGCTAATTAACTGAAAGCGAGCCAGTGTGATTCTATTAGAATGCGAAGGGAACCTACTAGGACCAGTATTGCAATAACGAGAATGACAAATGTTTGCCTATTTATGATTCAAAACTGGTGTGTTTTGGCGTATATATGTCAGTACAGGAGTACTGATTGAAAGCATCTTACCAGCACATGACTTAGTCTTCCAGATTTTTTTTAGAAGGATTATGAGGGCAACAAGATGAGAGAAATCCCCCAATAGCCTGAATATATTCATGCCTTTTTGTACCGAACTGGATGCTGATGCGCGCCACACTCGTGGCCTTTCTAAATAAACAATTTACATCTAAATATGAAACTAGTGAGCGAAACGTTTTTTCGATCATGAATTTCATGTACTTTACATATTTAGATGTCTCTGACACATAAACATCCTGGAATTTGATAGTCAGTTGGACTGTAACTATAGTCCGTTTCTAATGTATCTATAAAACCCATACCTAAGAATGGAAGGTCTAAAAGTCCTTCTTTTCTGAATTTTCAATACTGAGGTGGCTCATTTGATTTAATTTTTTGTCTTGACGTATATATACATGTCGAAATTGTTCTTGGCGTACACTCTGTATTATTTTCCTAAACGAGTAATAAAAGTTTAGTATTTTTGGGTTACTAGCAAGCCCCATTTGCGTTAGAAACTTAAAGTATGCCGTCCCGCGATGTCTACTCCAATCCTCTAGGTGGTTTAGCTGCTAAGTACAGCCGGAAAATTCTTTATGGACGAACGACAAGCTGCCGAATACATGGAACAAATGACAGTTCTTGAGGACGTTATGAGTGGTGTCATCAAATCTCCCTCATGTCTGAATAAAACCACCACGTCAAAACTACTGAAACGTAGCACATGATGAGGATACAAATGCGCAGAAGGTTACAAAGAAAGGTTTAAGGCTCGTTAAAAGGAAGAGGTGAAACATACGAAGCTCCAAAAGCATAAGTCGCCGGATACAACCTCAAAACCTTAAATCAACGCAACAAATATTGCCTCAGATTCTGATCCGCACAATGTGGGAAATTTTAGCTTAGAAACCTAACAAAGTCAATGATTGATAGACAGTGAAATTCAGTAAATTAAATTGATAAATTGAAGCTTGCAAACTTTTTACAAACATGACTTCTAGGAAGGGAAGAGGTTAAGTCTGAAGAATGGAACCTTAGAGCCTACCAAAGTAAATCTCCCAGAAAGGTTATAGAATTATGGTCTACTACGTTATTAGTACTGTTCTAATAACAGATCTGATCCTAAAATCTTAGATTTGTTGTGACGTTACTTAGTTACTTACGCCTGTTACCCCTCGTAGAGGAGCATAGGCCGCTCATTAGCATTCTCCATCCAACTCTGTCCTGAGCCTTCCTTTCCAGTTCTTTCCAGTTGCTATTCATCCTTTTCATATCGGCTTCTATTTCCCGGCGTAATGTGTTCTTTGGCCTTCCCCTTTTCCGCTTCCCTTCACCATTCCAAGTTAGGGATTGAGTCGTGATGCACATCGATGATTTCCGTAATGTATGTCCGATCCAATTCCAACGTCTTTCCCTAATTTCCTCTTCAGATGGAAGCTGGTTTGTCCTCTCCCATAGAACGATATTGCTAATAGTATCCGGCCAATGGATGTTGGGTATTTTGCGTATACAACTGTTTATAAATACTTATACCTTCCTGATGATGGTCGTAGTAGTTCTCCACGTTTCAGCTCCATACAGTAGGACTGTCTTGACGTCAGTATTGAAGATTCTGACTTTGAAATTAGTTGAGAGTTGTTTTGAGTTCCATATGCTTTTCAGTTATAGAAATGCTGCCTTTGCTTTGCTAATCCTGACCTTTACATCTGCATCCGATCCTCCTTGTTTATCAGTGATGCTCCCCAGGTACTTGAATGTTTCCACCTCTTCCAGAGTTTCGCCATCAAGTGTGATTGGGTTGGTATTCTCCGTGTTGTATTTGAGAATCTTGCTTTTTCCTTTGTGAATGTGGAGGCCTATCGATGCGGAGGCTGCAGTTACATTTGCGGTCTTCATTTGCATTTGTTCGTGTGTATGAGAGAGGAGGGCTAGGTCATCTGCGAAGTTCAAATCATCTAATTGATTCCGAGAAGTCCATTGTATTCCGTATTTCGCTCCAGATGTCGAATTCTTCATAATCCAGTCAATCACTAGAAGGAAGAGAAATGGGGAGAGTAGACAGCCTTGTCTGACTCCGGTCCTTACTGGAAATGCATCTGTCAGCTGTCCTCCATGTATGACTTTGCACTGTAGTTCATCGTATGAGTTTTGGATAATATTGACAATCTTTTCAGGAACTCCATAGTGTCGAAGAAGTTTCCATAATATTCTCCTGTCCACGCTGTGAAACGCCTTCTCATAGTCAATGAAGTTGACGTATAGTGATGAGTTCCACTCAACTGATTGTTCAACGATGATCCGTAGTGTCGCAATCTGGTCTGTGCACGACCTATCCTTACCGAATCCAGCCTGATGATCCCTAAGTTCGGCGTCTACTGCGTCTTTCATCAGATTTAGCAGCACTCTGTTGAAAACCTTTCCTGGTACTAATAAGAATCTGATGCCTCTGTAGTTTTGTCCAGGGTTCCCATAGAGATCCATTCCTTGTGATGATGCTTATTAGGACCAAGAACCTCCTGACACGTTGAAGTTAGTGCTTCTTTGATCCCTTTCCAGTTGTCCTTCAAAGTAGTTTCTTGTTCATTCAGTAGATCCTGGAACCTGTTGTTGAGAGTTATCTTGAATTCGTTGAGCTTGTCAGTATCTCGAAGGAAGACTGTATTGAACCTTTGTATTGCTGTTTGTCCAGCTGTCCAGTCTTTCTTAAGCTTCAGTCTCATCTTGGCCACAACCAGCCAATGGTGATCTGAAGCTATGTCAGCTCCTCTCCGGGTTCTCACATCTTCCATTGATCTTCGGAATTTTTTGTTGATACAGATGTGATCTATCTGGTTCTCTGTGGTTTGGTCCGGCGAGATCCATGTAGCTTTGTGTATGCGCTTGTGTGGGAATATTGTGCCGCCTATAACCAATTTGTTTAATGCGCATAGATTTGCAAGTCTCTCACCATTTTCATTTCTCTCTCCTAATCCATGTCGTCCAATAACATCTTCATATCCCATGTTGTCCACTCCAACTTTGGTATTTAGATCTCCCATCAGGATTGTGAGGTCCTTTCGTGAGCTCTTCTCTATAATTGATTGCAGCCTTTCATAAAACTGATCTTTATCATCGTCGTTGCTATCATTGGTGGGTGCATAACATTGGATAACGTTCATTGTGATCCCTTGATTCTTTGTTCTGAATGATGCTTTGATTAGCATCATATTATTTCACCACTCGTTATCTTACCTTATCTGTAACTAATATAAATCCCCACTTTTCCGCCTACTATGGTAAACAAATATCCTACACTATACCTTTCCTAATGCCTATACTCTGATTCGTAACCTACACTTTACTTTATAGTCAATAAAAACATTGCATTGAAGCCTTACTCACGGTCCATAATTTGTAACTGTCTGATAAGCTTGTGACATGGTACTTATAGAAATAGTGTTTTCCAACAGGATGTGAAACATAGAGCATTGTGTGAGGTATGATATGTATCCGAAAAATAAACGTAAATGAGCCTAACATCACAAAAGGAGGAAGGGTGGAGTTACTGACCAGCAAGCACTGATGGTGAGGGCGATGATTTCAATCCACCCGTGTTTGTGTGGCAGAACATTTTGTTTGTATCAGGCTCTTTATGGATGAGAACAAGTCAATACATCTGTGATATTGAGATTGCTCTCCTACACTCACCATTCAGACTCATGTTTCTAACTTTTGTGCTGGATTAACTATTCTACTAAGACAACCTTTAACATGCTAACTCGGACTTTTACATGAAAACTGTGTGGCAGGCACCGTATGATGAAAACAAAATGTGACCGTAAAGGATATGGTTATTATTGTTATTTTACTCAACACTCTACTCTCTATATGCACTCTCTGTTCTTCCTCATTTCAACCCTGACTTCCCTCCTTCATTGGAACCTACTCCACCTTGATAAATATTACAACTCATTGTTCTTTATTACTGCATTCTCTCCTCTAGAGCCCCTGATCTCAGTTCACTCTTGCAACATGAGCTAGTATCAATTTAATCTAATAATTTATCACACCTCCATCTGATCCACTAATAAATGTTAAGCATTGGTTATCGTTCATATCCAAATGCCTTGCTGCTCGGTTTCTTTTTTTTCTCTTCAGAATCGTGCTCCGAGGGTGAAGCTTTGTAACTTCTGACATCTGGAACAAGCTCGACGAACGCGCTTTCCCAAGGTCGTAGTTTGAACCAGGCTCTCCAAAAGCCTACTTTATAACAACTATAAACTTAAATAAATACTTAAATAAATACTTAGCTCGACCGAAACCCTATTACACTTTTTGTTGAGATTGGATCTGGTATGTAACGTGGACGCGATGACCCTTTGAAAACTATTCTTATGAAAACACATTATATCTGAACGAATGAACTTCTATCAACTTTTGTAGATTATAATTATTAAACAACCTTGCTTGAGATGCATACTGTGAACCAGTATATGTTGTTAATTGTAGATCATGCCTGTAAAAAAGGCGTGTACCTGCTATTGCAGAAATATATTATTATTATCCTGGGTTCATGAGATGTGACGTAACTGCCAAATCTATAAGATCTTACATGGACGTCACATCACTGTCTACACCGATTCATCGTATCGTAACAATCACCAACATTTGATGGGGTAGGGACTATGAAATGCCAGCGAGACCTAGCCAAATCATACGACAGTTGAGTCATTGAATATCGAACTCATCATCGATCTCTGTCACAGTCGAAGGCCAACAAACGTGCATCAGTTAATCATACGCCATGGACTAGCCTATGTGGTGGTGGTCTCACTAAAGTCTTTGTACTTATTCTTACTAATATATTTACGTGATCACTCACTTTGTGTTATACAGTCTTCAAATCAGCCATAGTACTTTGATACGTTGAAGGTGTAATCCACGTTAGATACTGACAGCAAGATGTTACTTCGAAATTAGCTGGTTCGTCACACCATTCACATCTAACTTGAGTAGGTTCCCAATCATTCGACAGAGATCATCGTTGATGATTTACAATGGAAAACACATTTGGGTCGGAGATGGAACACTATATCTGAAATGAATACAATAGTTACACAA